AGCCCTGAGGGGCCCCGAGGGGGCCTGGCTGCCCTGCCCTGCCCTGCCACACTGCACCAGCCCCACGCCAGGCTGGGGGCCGGGGGCAGCACCCAGGCAGGCTGCCCCACGGTCAGCAGTAGCCATGGCCACATCCTGTGGGTGCCACAGCCTTGGCCTCGCTGTCCAGCATGTCCTCAAGCCTCCTATTGGGATCCATCATTCCCCTCAGCTGGACTGGGGCCCACCCTGGCTCCGTGGGTGTCAGGGTGGGTCCCACACATTTCCCTGGCCCCTCTTGTCCTCCAGCCCCTTGCGCATCCAGCCCCTCTCGGCCCAAAGAGCCCCCAGACCTCTGAGCAGAAGCCATGGACGAGCCCTCCTGGGTCGTGCTGGGGATCTGCCATGAGAAACGCCATCTCTCCAGCAGCCTGGACAAACCAGGGCAGAGAAGAATCTCTTTTTTGGGCACATGGTCTTCTCAAAGTCCATCCCATGATGCTTGTCAGGCCTGGGCTTCTTCCCTTCCTCCCACCCTAGTGTGTGCTCTTGCCTCTCCTCATAAATGCTGGGATATCCTGCAGGGCATATGGTGGCTGGTGACTGTCACATCCTTCACTCAGCCTCTGTGTGAAGTCATTGGTACAAATTTGGGGTTAGGGACACACCAGATGCTGACCTACCATCTAAGTGGTGGATTTAAATGTTCAGGTTACCTGAGACCCATAAATGTAGAATGTTCTAAAAACGGCTGTGGTGTACTGGGTGACATGTTTAGAGCAATTCGATGGCTTCAGAGCTTCTGCACCATCTCTCTCCCCCTTGCCCAAACACAGTCCCTAAATTTTGTAAATGAGATGAGGACCAGAGCTTGCAGTGACAGTTCAGGTTGTTGATCAGAGTGTGTTTAAGATTCTGCCCCTGCTTTTTCATGTCAGAAGTCCTCTGAGACAGGCATGGGCAGTGAATGTGACCTGATAAACAAATTTCTTCACAGGAGCTCACATGGTGCTGTATTTTCAATTTTTGACCAAACCAGCCCTAATAACACACTGATGTTCCAGTTTTTGCTGAGTGGCACTCGCACAGCATCAAGGCTGTCTCTGCTTCTCACTCTGCCCACCCAGGGTATAGGCTTTGGGGTGCACAATACGCTGGGAGGGCTGGGCATCAGTCTACCCATGAGAAATGGTGAGTGATTGCCTTTGATTCACCCGTTTTCTTTTGGGTTCTTCCCTCTTCCACTTATCCTTCACTTACTAAACAATTATTTCTGTTTGTTTGCTTGATCTTGACCCCTAATTTTTCTTGGTTTTATTCTTCCTTTCCTCTTCCCCTCATCCGATTAAGGGGGGGAAGTGAGTAAGTGACTATGTAGTTCTTAGCTGCCCACCAGGGTTAACCCACAACAGGTACATATGGAGGATTCCCTGTGTCCACCACAGGGTGACCATCAGTTCTGCACTCCTCTCTTTCCAGAAAAATCCCGGAAATTTGTGGTCCCCCAGATGCCATCAACACTGATCTCCAGTGGCCACTAGTATTCCAAAATTTTACATGCTTGTAAAGTTCACCATATAAAAATAAGAGATGTCAAGCCGAGGGGACGGTCCCTTTACCAAACCCGTCTAGCAGGTGTGATAGCCCAAGGTGTTCATGAAGCACATCAGGGACCTTGTCCGTACCTCATGGAGAGGAGCATGAGAAGACAATGCCCAGCATCGCTCTGGGCACATCACAACATATGACAATGCAGGTTTTGGTCACAACAGGTTGTGATGTGGTTTGGATAGGCCAAACAAAAAGCCTGGGGTCATTCACTATCCTAGCAGGGTAAAATACTGTTTCCTGGACAGCCTGGTTACAGTCTTTGGTGGATATACCTTTGAGGAGCAGTAGCAGTCACAGGGCTCTAGCCTGTTCTGGGCTTCTGCTCAATGTTATGTCATTCCCACTGAATTTACACAGCTTAGCACATGAATTGGTACATGAATTCATTAGTACATGAATTAGTACATGAATGAACACAGCTCAGTATTTTCCCCTCCATATTGTGTGGACATTTCAGAACGTGCCTGCCCAAACAGCAAGGTGTAGGAGATAAAAGTACACATGGAGATAAAAGTACAGAGACCATCGCTCACACTTGAATTATTTATTGGGTTTTGCAGATGGCTGAGCCCCTGCATAGGTGATTTGAGAGGACTGCATAGGAAAAAAAAAACCTGAGCCTGGCAGCTGGGGTGCACCATGGATGTGCGTCCCTCACCCTCTGTGGTGGCCATTTATCTGTACTTCTCAGTCAGAACAGAGGAAATACTGGACAGGAACTTGTCCCACGCGGCATGCACTTCTGGGGTGAAGTCACTGGGATAGCGGGCAGCCACGGAGCACAGGATACAGTGGGAAAGCAGCTGTAAGGGAAAACAGGATGAAATCCATCATAATCTGTAATGGTTGTCAGTCTAGGGGTCTGCAACAGACCTGGGACCCAGTGTGCTCTGGGATGACAACTACATGTCCCAACCACTTCGCTGCTGCCTGATGCTATTTGTGAAGAAGTTGAGTTGCTTTCGGTATAGGGCAAAAGGCACCGCTTGATCCCATTCCCTCTTCCAAATGTCCCTTCCTTCCTCACCGAAGAGAAAATGCAACAAAGTGGAAACGTTTGGAATTAGTACTAAGACTTTGTTCAAGACAGGTGATAGAACCTGACGTGTGAAGGAGATTTGTAAATTACAACAAAGGCAGCAGAGACTTGAGTCTGTCTAACACAAACCATAGGAGCTCCCCTGAGTAGTTCTCTGCTTGAGCTAGACCAGATCTTTCATTAAAAGATCCAATCTCAGGTTAAAAATCAGGTGGAGAACAAGCAATGACATGAGTTTACAAGGGTGTGCAGTGCAATCAGGGATTAAGCTGCCATTAGCCAAAATGATCTGTGGTCTCTAACTCCGTGATGGCAGTTTTCATCCCTGAAAGCGTGCTCACTTACCTTGAAGTTCACGGGGTCCACCCTGAGGATGTAAGCATGCAGCTCACTGAGTTTGGCCAAAGCGCTTCTGATGTCATCAACATGCTTCACAGCTTCCCCGATGGCATTCATGACCTTGGAGCCATGACCACGAAGCTGAGCTGAGCCTTGGCTGAGATCAAAGTGAGGGAAGTAGGTTTTCGTCTGGGGGTAGCTGGAGAAAAGCCTGGAGGAGAATGTGAAAATGAGATTCAGCAGTGGAAATGTCATGCATGAGATGGCAAAACCTCAGAGCAAGTGCGATGTAAACCTGCCAGCTACAGAAGTGCAGTCCTTCAGCTGTCGTAACAGGGCTTTGGGAGCTTGAAGCTTGCATGAGGAAGGTCTTTCTGCTCTTAAATGTCTTCTGCAGTATGTGCAGATTAGACAGTGGCCTAATCTGTATATACTAGAGAAGAATGAAATGTTAAAAATACTTTTAAACTTAATGTATTTTTTGGGGTTTGGATTTTTTTTAGAAAATAAATAATAGCCCCAAACTGTCACTACATTTCCTATATTACGTTGTAAGGCAGTTTGCAGGACCTTCAAATTAATACGAGCTGAACGAACCAGAATCGATATGAGCGGTACTCAGAGTTCTGGAAGGAGTATCACAATACTTTATATTGAACTGCAAATAACATTTAAATGACTGTGAATAACATCAGAATTTCTGAACAATTTCCAGACTATTATCCCTTTTGTGCCAGCTTGCTTAATTTGTATGCACTTTGGATTGCTGTGCTATATACTTCATGCAGGGTGTCCAGTTGTCTTGTTTCCTAATGGTTTGTTACTTATCAGCTGGAACAATGAAACATGAGTATCCAGTGAATTTAGTAGATGGTTATTCTCTTAATGCCTAGAAATTGCAAGAGAAATCGTATCACTTGTACAATAAACCACTTCAAGTTCATTTCCTAACAGTGATAACGCTATTTCAGGACACCAAGTATGACTTTGAATTCCTTGCCAGGGTTCCTGGCTATGAATTCTTCTTAATTGCTATAATGGGAAGTAAACCATTAGAATTGCTTAGAAAATTATGCTTTGCTGTAAGGTTTTGAAGCCATCTATTAACATTTAGTAGCACAAATATAATTCCAGAAAAGTATATACCAAACAACACAGAGGTCATCCATCCAGCCCTGGTGTAGTCTCGCTCATGCAGGTTTTACACAAGATGCATCCTAACAGCAAAGCCAGAGGAGGGGTTCTGGGGGACTTACCTCTCCAGTGATTCTGCCCCAATGGCATCGGCTTGGGTAGTCACCTTTGCCCAGATGGTGACCACGGCGGCCTTCTCGGCTTGAGTCAGCGTCATTGTGCAGGAGGGTGCAGGCTGAGGCTCCTTGCAATGAGTGCTCAGAGCAGGTTTGGACTCGTGGCCCTGGCAGCCCTGGTTATAAAGAGGAAGGGGACAGCGAACCTTGGCGCCTGTCCACGCTCATTGGCCACTCCAGAGACCCACCCATGGAGGTGGGAGACTCTTATCTCCATGTGAAACAATGTCTATTTCGGCAAGGGTCAGCGCACTGGCCTCCTTGCTCACTGGTGTTATCAGCTTTTCGCTTCTTAACGTAATGGCCGTGTGGCCCAAAGAAATTGTCTGGACACATATTGATACATGAACAGAGAGATAATGCTGGAGAATTCCAGCGACGGAGCGTTAGGACACATCTTTAAGCTGAGGAGCATATGGAATTTGAGCGTACATCTGCATTTTCTTCCTTGCTTCACAAATGCGACCATAAGACTGGGCCATTCTGTGACATATTAAACAGTTTCAGTATATGTTACTGCCATGTGGTCCAATATTTCAAATAAAATAATTCCTAA